TCTCAGGTTCGTTGAGAATAGAACAAATTTGTTTTACCATATTAATAAATTATTCATTAACCATAAGATTAACTTTATCGTATTTAAGGAATGTAATTTTTCTTTCTAACCATCAATCATAATCGTTACAAATCATTTTATACACGATGCGACGCAAACTAAAAAATATTTTAACGTTATGTTGTACAAAGGTTTATAAAAGTGATAATAATAGCAATTTTATAAAATGACAGCAATATTAATTGATGAATGCATCCATACATTAATGGTGGGGCGACATGCGACGTAAAGGTTTACGTTAGCCGATCTCAAAACCAATTATTTTTTAATGTCTTTCGGTAACTGACGTTGTACGGTTGGACGAATAAAAATATAAAAGAATCAGATAGATCGAAGTGGTAACATTCAGAGAAATAATAAATGATGACTTTTTGGATTCGTGGAATAAAAGGTATTTGCGCAAAAATTCATCTAAAACATTTTTACAAAGTAAATGGACACGGATTAAATTAGATGTATAGAATTTTTTTTTTTTTAGTTTATTCCTCCATGTAGATTGAATATCATTAATGATATATTAGGTTGAGATTTAGTAAAGCTCGCAGAAAAAAATTGTATTATCAGGATTAATGAGTACTAGAAGAAATTGCGGTTGAAGAAGCGGTTGTTTGAAGTAATAAGTGTTATTGAACGTTTTGTAAATTAATATAAAGATATTTTATTAGTAAACGAACATTCTGTACGCTATGATGGCTTCAGAATAGCTTTTCTTGGTTTCTGAAAATGGAAGAAAGTGTAATGATGAATGGACTTTTATTCATTTATTTTTTCGATGTACTAACTTCGTAAAATAAATTAGTGAAAGTGTTTCGTACCTTCTGGCTCCAAAATTGTACTATCCTAAAAAACTTTCATTTTTTATAAAAAGTCCCGTTTGGACTTTTAATATTTTCTCTGTAAATCAAAAAATGACCTGTCCGAATTTTCAACTTCTTGTTTATTTTAAATTAAGAGTTAGTGTGCCCCATTTTCCAAAGTTTTGTCACTTGAATCTTTAAATATAATAACTGCAAATTTTTTTACATCATATTGATTTTGATATACTCAACATTACTCCCAGCAATTCATCATATTGAAAATTATATTACTTGATGAATTTTAAACTTTTTTGCAGGCTATTTAATGTAGAGTTGTTTAACAAAATTAAAATACTTTTAATTTGAATGTTTATCTAGTTTTAATAAAATGCTTTATTTTTATGAATAAAAAAATTATATATGGTTATTATATTAAGTTTTTAACTATCAAAAAATATATATTAATGTATAAAAAAAAATACTCTAAGAATTACAGAAATACAAAGATTATAATAATATTACATTGACAAGTAATATGTGTAAAAATTGTTTTCTAATCAAAACAGCACAAAAACCAATCTTCATCATTTTGATTATAAACAAATGTTTTTTATTTAACAATGATTAACAAAATTAAATATTATTATGGTTTTAGGGGAAAAAAATGTAATTAATTAATTACACTTATTAATAAGTAACTATTTATTTTTTTTTTTTTAAAGAGATAGTGACTACTTAAATAAAATGCTTAAATATTACTTATAATACAGAAATAAAGAACTGTGTAAAATAATATGGTAATTTTGTAGTTTTGTATTATCACTGATATTGCGGTATTTATATTTTATAATACATTAAGTTAATGCATCCGTAACAATAGATATTTTTATAATTAATTAGTATAGTAATCTATCTCGATATATCACCACAGCCCAATTCACAATCGTCACTCTTCACAATCAACTATACAGAGTATATACACATTATATACATCATACACATGCATACATACTACTTAAATATAATAGAAAAAATAATTCATCAACAAATTAAAATTGACTATCGCTATTTTCTACTACTTTCTGAATACTGGTTATTTGTGCCCCGAAGATTCCCCAGGGAACAACGCAACAAAGATACAAAAAACGAGACGTATCATCACCTCAAATAGGCTCCAAATCATTGAGTAGCTTCAAATCTTTGAATTTACGAGAATAGTCTGCAGTCTACCGCAATTAAATAAATAAAATCATCATAATATGACTATTTTATTTTATTATTTTATTATTATTTTGATATATTATATCAAAATCCAAAAAATATTTAATATCAAAAATAATAATTAAAAAAAAATAAAAATATAATTTATTATTGTTTCTCGATTCCGACTGCAAAAATTCATTCACTTATACAATAATACCAGGGTATCCATATTGAGTACGTTTTTGAAACATTTTTCTAGTATATCTTGATACAAATTCAACAACACAAATACAAAATTCAGTCACATACGGTGTGTGATGTACTGCCAGTTAATGTCGTAATAGTTTTATTGGATAAGCCTTAAGTCCATTAGTACACCAATTCTGACTAAATACTCCAGACTAGGCTTTTATTTATTTATTTCTATACATAAAATATTTGTTTATTGATTTATACGAGTATATTAATTATTACTGTTGACTGAGACTTAGTCTACTATTTAGGCGACAATTGTTGTCAATACATGTTCAAAAAACATTATCCTTTCTATAATTACATTTTGAATATACAATTATAATCAGTATTGAGAGTAGTCTAAATAAAAATATTAATCATCCAATATAAACTTTATATATTTATCCATTTTAGATGAACATTTTTATTATCTTCTGGATATTTTTTTATGTTTAATATTAAATTAATATATTGAGTACTTCGGGGATTCGAGGATTTTTTCACGTATCGTCTAGGTAGCTTTGACAATAATTTTTAATAATGGAAATGTGTAGTATTAATGTGATTGAAAAAGTACCCACAAGTTTTCCTTAATTTCAATGAACACATTTACTTTAATAAGTGTTGATAAAACGTAGATATAACTTAGCACAGATATATATATATTATAAATCTGTGGACTTTACCAAGAACTACCATATATAATAACGAAAAGTAAAATCTTTTGAGTAATGAATAACAATTGACAATCATTGTAATTGTAAGCTACAGTTTCTTTACTGTTTCTTAGTAAAAACTATTAAAATATTCTTGAAAATAAATCCTTTGATCCATTGAAACAATTCACTTTTCGTTAATTGTATATTGATAAATTATAAAATAGTAAAATAAAAGTTAGTAAATCATTAATACACGAGTATATTCACTGTAAATTAATATATAAATAAATAGCTTGTCTAGAGTGTCATTGTAATATATGACTGGTTTCGAATTAAAAATTCATCATACAAAAGTCAATAAAAATGCAACAAAATATGAAAAAAATAAAAGAAGGAATACATTGAGAAAAATCGGTCGTTTAACATAGAGATAATTTATTTTAACAGGAGAGATTATTTGATATGAGTTCCTATTTAACATAGATTTTATTCTTCTTCTTCTTCTTTACCTTTCTCTCATCTATTTGAGGGTCAGTCATCCTTGTCCTAAACCTCCACTTGTCTTGATTTTCTACATCCTCATATACTTTGGTTATTATTTTACATTTTTGAACGTATTTAGATGAAACATCTAGATAATAATTTAGTTATCTTTTATCTTATCTAGAAAAATAGTTGTAAAATATATAATTAATTAACTTTGATAAAAAAATCATCTACCTAGATAAATTCATCTGTTTACAAAAAAAAAGAAAAAATACAAATTTGTATTGTCAATTATTTTTATTGCAAATGAATACTTTAAATTTGAAATCTTAAATAATACCGGTAACAAAAATTACATAATAATATCATACATTTTTAAACTTTGAAAAAACGTTTCATGTTTTTTTTATTGTAATTAATTTAGTAAGTACTACAGTTTCATGATGGAGTGACCAACGTTTATTGGTGGTGGATGGCAATAGGCATTTCCGTTTGACCGTTTGCACGTCACGATATTTTGCAATTTATTAATATAAAATTAATGAAAAGAAAACTGCTCCACGTGGAGCAGTGTTATTTAATTCATCAGACCCGAATGTACATTATAAAAAGATATATTTTCAAGAAGATACCAATAGTTTTTACCTAAAAACAATAGATGAGGACGACAATGATTGTAAATTGTTATGTATTACCTAAAAAGCTATTATTATTATTATTGTATATAGTCATTCTTGGTGAATCCATCCATTATATTATGTATATAAATATATCAGCACTAAATAATAGCTACATTTAGTTAAATACTCATTTGGGTATAAATGTTCATCAACATTTGTAAAAACGTATAGGTAGGTGTCTTTTCAATCTTTAGTTATAACTATACATTTTCACTGTGGAATATCGTAGATAATAAAAATAAATATAAAATAAATAATTTTTATTTTTATCTAGTTATAAATATCTCGATAAATTTATTTAAATAAGCCTCAACACTGTCCATGACTCTCCTGTCTCCAAGCCACGCCAATGTATCGGAATGCATAAATTACTCGTATTGTTTGTTTAATACAATATCGAATATATATATATATTATTTTAACGTTCTTTTCAATACTTTTTATAAAAAATATACATATATATATTAATAAAGTTCCTGGAAAACAAAGACCAACAGCAAACGAATTGAAACATTTTTTTTTCCCATCACTCTAAATTGATGGGAGAAAAATACTGGCTTTCAATAGTCCTTTTAGTAAGCAGAAATATTTCGTGTGCCTTCTGGCTCCAAACGTTTTTATTTAGTTCCGGGGAGAACGTTCTTTTAATGCCAGAGGTTCACTCGTTGAATTTTCGGGTTTTCTTTGTAAATCAATAATGACCGATCATCACTTACGGGTAACTCAGGAAACGCATAAACCGTTTGAGCGGATGAGATTTTCCGCCCTGAAAATTCGACTAAGTTTTTTTATTGATTTTTTCCCAAGCATTTTGCTGGACATATAAAGATGAAATGAATCACTTAAACATAACTGACGTGCACGCGCGATTGTTTGTACAGGACACGGGAAATGGCCGCAAGTGCGGCTGCACCGACGACGACCGACACCGTTGCGGACGGACTGCGGTGGTGGCGGCAGCGGCGGGAGCAACTGTCGTGCGAGTCGTGTCGGTGGTCGGCGAGCGACTGCGGCTGGACGGCGGTGAACAGAGGCGCGTGGCCGACGGTCCGCGCGCCATATGGTCATCCGCGTCACACGTTGGTCACCGAGACGGCGACGACGGAACCACGGTGGGCCTGATGATGCCGTCCGACGGCAATACAGTGACGACGGCGACCACCGTCGGCGAAGAGCGGCCGAGCGGTAGTGTTCGGTTTCGATGGCCACGGCAATACGCCGTCGCCACGGCGCTGTGTGTCGCGATCGCTGTCGTATCGCTCGCCCTGGCGTCGGTGGCCGGTTACGAGTACGATACTGGCTACGGCGGCGACGGCGACGGTAGCCGAGAGGTGCACCGGTGCGGCACGCTCGGCGGCCGGCCGCTGGTGGAGCCCAAGGGCGTCATCACCACGCCGCTGTTCCCGGGCCCGTTCCCGGTGCCCATCGAATGCGAATGGGTAATCCAGGTGAACGGCGACGGTGGCGGCGGGGACACCATGGTCGAGGTGTACTTCACACAGCTGTTTGTCACCGACGGGCTGACCATCACCGAGTACTCTCAGTACCCGCCCGACTTCGGGTTCGTGACGGTGCGTGAGGTGTTCAACAAGTCGCACATATCCCAGTACGGACAGTCCATGCTCACCACGCTCCCGTATCTGGTCATCCGGTTCCGGTTGAACCGGTTGGAGGGTAACCACATACGCGTCCACGACGACCTGATGGACGTGTACGGGTTCAACATCACCTACGAGATGCGGCCGATCGGCAACGAGCGCGAGGACGTGTGCAGTTTGCTTCTGTGCTCATACTCCGGCAACTGCCTGGGCAACGCCGACCTCACGTGAGTACTATTTCCTTCGCCACTACCCTTCCACCCACCATCTGGACCATTCCTGCCCAAGACGTACCTGTTGATCCGCGTCCCAAACAATTATCATTGTTAGTACTCGAGGCACATGTATCGCATCATCGCTGCCAAAGATTATTAATTACTCCGTAACATCGTTTTTTGGCTCGGGCGGTCTTGTTTATATTTTCTTACAACATCAAATTAATAAATGCATTTACATAAAACTATTTTATTTCCGTAACAAACGTTTTTTTGGTAATTTGTTTCCTAAGTGGTAAAATATTTGGAACTGGTACTACCAGTGATTAGGCATACACAGTGCTTGACTTGGAAAAAAAAAGTAGTAGAGGAACTCTTATGACACACATATATATTTTGTCCCTATCTAATTAAAAACTGAACATAATCGTGTTCACTCCAATGTCGTTCTTTCATGAGGGGAGGCTGAATTAGGCATTCATTCCCCATGACATTTTATTTCTATCAACTGTTTGCTTTTTATTATATATATTTTACTAAGAAAATATTATACATAAATGTGAATATATGTTTTAAGTATATAAAAGGTTCTATAAACGCTACTGGTTCAATCTCTTATGACATCCTTAAATATGTTACCACAAGACAACGTATATTCCATAATTTATTATACTCGCTTTCAAAGCTTAAACTATTACCTCAATGAATAAATATAGTGAATATCTATAAACCATGATGCACAACATATATTCCAGTACCTATCAACCTATTTCAGGCATGTCTAACATGTGAACTACAACTATTTTTTTGTGGCCCGCGACTTCCGATAACAATCGACTATTCAATATATTTGGCCCACTAGATTCTTTGAATTTGTTATGTCTGACCTACTTGCTTATCTATCTCACATCCTTAAAATACTTCTATAAACATAAATTAAAGAAAATAAAAAACTATTGAAGATTAAAGTACCTACTTATATTTTACTAACTCAAATTTACAATTAGCAGATTTTAAGAAGCTTTTTTCCACATTTATTTTATAATTAACTAAAAATATAGAATGTTGATTTTATTGTCGTGTTTTATTCTTATCGACTACCGCGTATTCTGCTATATTCGTGTTTCGTAATGATAGGTAATATGTTTAAATTTGAAAATTTGCTATATGTGTATTCTTGCAAAATCTTTACACATCTAAATCCGACTACACACTTACCTATCCACCCATAACATTTTCACCATGACGTCTAAGCGCCATAACCACGATACAAATGAGTTTTTTTTATCTTAAAAGGTTAAAATCAGTCCAAATTTTAATTATACTAAAAAAAATAACCCACAGGTATTCTATGTAATGGCAATAGGTATCTACGTGATTGGGTATGTCAACAAAAATTGTCAAAATTGATTTTTTTTTTTGGGTTATTATCATTTATCATGTATCGTTGTATCAATAACTAATACTTACTTGACTATATATTTTGTAATTTTGTTAAATTTATATTTAAATTAAGTACTTGTTACGATCACACACACTCGTTACATACTGTCCCGTGCATCATTATTTTTAAAAAAAATAGTAATGGTACACCAGAATAGCTGTTAGTAGTATACTATATAATGTAGTAGTTGGGTCCTCAGTCCCTCCCATTTAATCTCCCCAAGTCAAGCACTGGGTACAAATGAGGTTTTGTATTACATGAAGATCACGAGATGGCTGACATTAAATTTTACGTGTAATCAAGGTCCAACTCTTCATAAGTTAAGCTACAATCCTTTAAACGTCACTAAGGCTACGTGATTATTTTACTTTCATATAATTGGTTATAAATGGTTATTTTATATACATAAATTATAATCAATTTTAATTGATAACATTTTACAATCTATTAAGAATTCTAATCTGAGAATCAATAGTAACAACTAAGCTAATTAATTGATAGTTAAACTTAATAGGTATATATATAGATACACGAGTAATTAGGGATACGAATACTAAGTTCTTATATTTTTCATGTAAAAGGAAACAGAAAACAATAAAATTCGATATATTCATGGTGATACAAAACTCATAAATGTTCATATTATTTTAATAGTGGTAAAAGAGGAATTTTAAGCTAAAAATGTAAATACTTCAATATTAATGCCGTGAGTCCATAACCACTACAAAAACCTTTTTATATTTATGTTATATTCGTATAATATTTTTTTATATAATGTTTATTAATCTCTATTATAATTAACTTTCGATAGTTTTTGATTTTAATCAAAGTCGATTAATAATCAATCTTTTCACATTTTCGATTAGATCAATTATTTATAAAACATGAAAAATAATCGATTATATATATATATATATATATATATTTATATATGTATATTTGTATTTTATATTGTAAAAATAAATAAAATCAATAAATATATAAAATAACCGAACAGTCTTAAACATAATTTGCACTCAGAAAATCCTACCATTTTTATATATATTTTCCTTATATTTCCAATCACCTAGTATCATTATTGTTATATTTTTTGTTAATAAATTATGGTAAAAGATAAAAATATATGAAAATTAATTAGGTTTTTGAACGAAAATTAAAGTTAATAACTGATGTACATTCCACACAGACGTTTTTCTTTTTGCCGAGATCAAATTGTTCGGCTTAAGCTTTTACATTTCCAGAATAACTCTGTCTTGAGCTTATGCTCACCAGCAGCCTTGACAGCTTGAATAAAATATAATTTCAATTGATTTGCTTCCAAGATAATAGAACATAATTAGCATATGTGAATTTAGTGCTTATAAGATACATACTGGGACCAAAACCTGAACCGAGATAAGCCAGTTCTGGAACCGGTTAATCTTAAAAATTCAAGAACCGTAACCTTAACCACAACCTTTATTTAAAAAAAATTAAAACGTGTAAACTTAACTTTAATTATAAAATAGTTAATTTTGGTTGGTAATAATATCTTGTAGGAAGGTTCAGAAAAATAAAAGTAATTATTTTACATTTTTTTATTCTCTTGTATTGTAAATTTTAATTTTTAATAATTAAATATATCCATAAATAAATAGCTTATACATAGAAATAAATAATTTAAAGCATAGCCTGAAGTATATGTATTGTAAGGCCAATATCCAATAAAAAATCATTATTAATTGTATACAAAATTAATAAAATTGAGACTCTATAAATGTATCATTTTTTTTTAAATTTGGCATACTGGTAAATATATATATATATATATATATATATATATATATATAATAATTTATGCCAATACTCACTACAGAACTCGTACGTAAAAACAGACTGAATAAGATAAAAATATATAATCTGTACAATAAACTTCTTCATACATTTTTTTTAAAAAAAAATGTATAGATCTGTCCTAGAAACTAACGCATCAATTAAACAATCAAACAAAAAATAGAATAGAACACATGTATTTTATTATTATTTTTCTATATTTATTTTTTGAAAATATATTATTATATTATAAAAAGTAAATTGTCTATTAAGTATTAAGTATAATGAATAATAATTCAAATTGTTATGATGTTTAAATGTTCTAGAGTGTAGTGAATGAAAATGTACTTTTTTCTCGTTAAATATCGTTAAATATATCTGTCAGTAGGTAAAAATGTAAAAATATACGCATCCACAACCAGTGCTGATCCCAAACAATGTAAGATCCCAAACAAATACATTTACATTTAACACCGAATTACACATTCAGAACCGATATTAATTGATTTTAAAACCCTTATTTTAATTTTTAGAAAACCGGATTTTTAACCCTTATAATAATTAATTTAATAGCTTAAACTGGAACCGAAACTAAAAAACCTTAGTTTTTGAATACATCTCCTTCTTTGGGGTTTGTCGCCCATTAAGACCATCCCGTCACACATCCAATTTTCCAACCTTCCCTATCCAATGCTCTTACTTTCCAATCAGGACTTCCATTCAGAACTTCCATGTCTTTTTTATCATATCTTCCCACCTCAATCAAGGTCTCCACAGTGGTCTTTTACCAACTGGATTCTTTTCTTAAATACATAGTTACTAAAAAAATACACTTTTTTTTCTATTGAAAAATAACAGGATTAATATAAAAAAATGTATTTTTTTTTACAATCCTTAGATTGGTTAAATAATTTCGATGGCTTTCCACTTGTCCCTATCCATTACAGCTACTTTTAGTTCCTTATAATTGGTTTTCCCTATGTCCTCTATGATCTGTTTCATAAATGGTGTTCTTTGTCTACCTCTTCTAGCTTTTCCTTCTATCTTTCCTTCTATTATCGTCGTTATCCATTTATTGTTTCTCATAATATATCCTATCCATTTTTTTCTCCCTTCTCTGATTATTTTCTATATTGTTTTTTATTCGATCATTCTTAGGTATACTTCTTCATTTTTAACTTTCTCTGTCCAGGGAAATTTCAGTGCTCTTCTCCAGCACCATGTTTCAAATGCTTCGATCTTTTATCTTTCCGCTTTGAGTATCGTCCATGATTCTGCCTGTACAGGGCTATACTTCATACAAAACTCTTTATAAGAGTTTTCCTGGTATTTAAGCTAACAGTGTTTGCCGTAAATAATTGCTGCTTTTTATAAAATTCCTGTTTTGCTTGTACTATTCTGCTCTTTATGTTCATTTTGCTTCTTCCGTCGTGTGTTATTTTGTTCCTAAATATATAAAACATTGAACAGTTTCCAGCTTCACATTTTCAATTGTTATGTTCAAAAACAATTCCTGCTTGCTGCATATTAATATTTTTGTTTTACTCATATTTATTTTTGATTTTTTACTCTTTAGATCTATCGTTCATTTTTGTTAACATATTGTCTAATTTTTCTTCACTTTCTGTTATCAATGTTATGTCGTCTGCAAAACGCAACATTTGTACTAGCATACCATTAGTTTTTATTCCTCCAATTTCTTCTTCCCTTAATTTGAAAATAAAAAATGTATAACCAGATATTTTATTGCAAACAA